TGTGAGGCTGCCTGACTGAGGCCGGCTCTGCCCCCAGCTGCTCCCTGCTGTCCATCAAGGGTCTCATGGAGCAGGTCAGGACCCAGGCAGTGTGGAGGCTGGCCCCAGACCATCCAGGGACCGCATGCTGGACTCAGTGTGGATCACAGGAAGCCGGGCCCCAGTGCCCAGACTCTCTGGGGCAGCACTGGCCACATGTCACAAACAAGCTCGACAGCAGGGACGGCGTGTGGCCTCCTCCCTGGGGACCTGCCCCCGGTGTTGGGGATGTCCAAATCTTCTCCCACAGGCCATGAGGAAGTCAGCAAAGCCTGGCTCTGCTTCATCCTGGCCCCTCCGGGCACAGGTCTGGGAAGTGCTGTGTCCCAGGGCACCACCAGTGGTTGAGCGTTAGAGGAAGAACCCAGGCGCTGGTCTTGGCCTGAGAGTGGCAGCTCTTCCCAGGCCTGGAGCTAGAAAGTAGGGCAGCCTCACCCTGCCTGGACCTGTCCAGCGGAGGGGACGGTGAGCAGGCTCCCTCCTGTCCGCAGGGTTTTGCAGTGAATCCACCCCTCCAGCCAGTGCTGGCCTTGGGCAGGCCACGCAGGCCCGCACAGGACGCTGCACACCTCAGCTCGGCCTGTGAGCTGCAGGCTCCCCTGCCAGGCTCGGGGACCGCAGCCCCAGCCTCCTCTCCCTGGGGCAGACCCAGGGGGCCAAGCAGGGCAAGGCCACTCACAGACCTGCATGTGCCCAGCAGCCTCCCAGGCAATCTCACTGCAGGCTGGTTTCTGCTAACAGCATTTCACAGATGATGAGACCGAGCACAGAGCGGCTGCCTCAGGTCCCTCGGCTGGAAGGGGGTGGTTCTTAGAGTTCACCCAAGCGCATCTGTCTGGGCCTGGAAGCCAATCTGTGGGATGCAGGGCCATTGCAGCTGGATTAATGTCACTGTCAATGAGTACGGTGCAAAGTCCCTGGGGTAGCAGGGCTGGGAGCTGGTGCAGCTCCATCCCTGACAGGACCTGGTGCCCTGGGGTCGGTAGCAGGGTTAGGATGATGAACCAAGCCCAGCAGAGCTTCAGGAATGGGAATCACGCTGGAGAGAAGACCAAGGGACAGACTCTGGGACAGCCTTCTCCATCTCAGTGGAGGCCTTTCAAAGAGAGAAACCAGCCTCGGTATAAAGTAAGCCACCAGCAGGGTGACAGTCTGCTTCTCACCAGAGCAGGGCGTCCCTGCCTGCCTCTGAGGCTGTTCCCCTTGTTCCCCCACTTCTGAGGCCCTGAGGGTGATCTGAGGCCGTCCACTGGTAGGACCCAGGTCTCTCCTTGCTGGGGTGCACAAGGCTGGAGTCGGAACTGCATAGAGGGCTGTCCCCGGCCAGCCTCTGCCTTCTGTTTTCGTCTGCTGTGTCAGGTCAGTGGCAGCCATCAGCATTGGGGAAAGGACTCATCAACCCCTGCTGTAGCGGGAGACAGCAGCACATGTGTCCTCGCGAGATCTCAGCTGTGATCTTGCTGCATGAGAAGACTCAGATGCACCCAGGAAATGCATGTTGTCCATTCAGAGTTAAATGGATGCATTCAAGTTCATCCCTATACCCAAGGCTGAGCCGCGTGGTAGACATCTGGGCGACCCGCTGGCTCCGGGCCAGTTCCCTTGGTGCCTCTGCTCCTGTCTTGGCCTGACTGGTGTACTTTGCTGATGTGAAGAGGTCAGAGCTGGGAAAGTCCAGGCCACAGGTCAGAGACAGGCTGGCGCATCAGCCGAGGTCCTGGCCGCCCTCCACCCTCAGCTGCCAGTCTCCGACCTCCAAGGAACTGCACAGCAGGACCCGCGCACAGAACGGGACCCAGCTGCCTGCTCATCGTGATGGAAGCGCTAAGGACACACAGCCTCGCTCCTGCCGCAGGCTCTGGGGATAACTAACAGCATTCCTCGCCTACCACACGCCAGGGCACTGAGCTAAGTGCGCGCCTTGGATCGTCCGCTGGAAGCCTCAGGACAGCCCTGGAGTCAGGCGTTAGCAGGACCATTTTATAAACAGAAGAAGCAGAGGCTTGGGATGTATGCAAAACACAAGCCTCTCCACCGAACTGCACGCACTGCTGAGGGTTGAGCCTGGACAGGCTGGGCCACACAGGGGGCCCCGCTGGAGTCCCAGGCGGCCTCAGGGCAGAGAGCAGGGTGGGGGCAGGAAGTCCCCGCGTCCTCATTTCCTGTTCTCTCCCAGGGTTGGTACTGCTGTCCGGCCCCTGCTCAGGACGGCTTTGGGCAGGATTCGGTAGAATCACAGGGTCTTGGCCAGGAGCCGCTGTGGCCCCGTGAGTGTGTTGCCCCAGTTTCAGGCAGGTGCTCCCAACCATCTGGCCTGGGAGTGGACCCCCGCTGTGCACGGGAGCACAGACGCTATGATGATGTCCGCAGTGTGGCTCATGAGGAAGGAACCACCTCTGCCTGGGGCTGGGTCGGCACCAGACACCGCAGGGCCAGGAGGGCGGCATTCCCACGTCACCCTGGGCCACACGACAGACGCCAGGCCCTGGGACTAAGAGAAAGGGCTGTGCCTGACACAACACCGCCACGGCCACCTCCACCTGCCGGGACCAACTCCTGACACGTGCAGTGCTTGCGGGGGGCCCGGGGGCTCTGGGAAGGAACCAAGCGCAGAGCCAGGTGTAAGGAAGGGCTGAGCGCATGGTGGCCGCTGTCACTGCTGGGATCTGCACAACGGGGACAGCAAGGCAGGGGCAGAGGCCTGAGGGTCTCCCCTGACCAGCAGCGGCCAAGTTTCTTGGGAAATTTGACACCGCACCTGCATTATGGACCTGGACAACGCCACAGCCCCCTGCTTAGCCACTGTCACTGTCCAGCTCAGCCAAGAGGACCGGACAAGGCTGCTCGGTCCTGGGCTCAGCACCGTGTGGACTTGATACACAGCTGAGGAAGTTGGGGTGGCCCAGCCCGTCATGGAAGAGGGACACAGGACGCCTTGGGATCTCTGTGCGGCGCCTTCCACAGGAGACCCTGTCCCTACCACACCGGGATTTATGGAGAAGCTCTGACAGAGCCTGGCCCAGTCACCAGGAAGAGCAGCTTCCTCTGGAGCTCCGGGAAGTGAGTTCTGCCGGGCCTTTGCAGACGGCTCTGCACCCCACCAGACCAGGCCACCCGAGGACCAAGAGCATCCCTACCCCTGGCCTGGGTGCAAAGGATTAGTAGGTGGCTTTCTCCGTGTCACGGCAGGAAGCGGCGGGAGGAACTCACTGCACAGCACGGTCTCCCTCTCATTCAGGTCTCCGTCTCGTCCAGCACCGGGCCCAGACACGGGAGCCACACCCATCTGTACCTTGGCTTCTGCAGAGCACAGAATCGCCCTGAGCCTCGAGGCTCTGCACTGCCTGCCCCGTGGCCGTCACAGACTTGTCCTGCCCTACCCCGATGGTGCTGTGTGCGGTGGTCGCTGCCAAGGCTGTTCTCCAGGCCAGTCTTACCGACCTTGCACCATCCTTAGCTATTGAACCGATCTGCTACGACACTGGAGGGTGCTTGGTGGCACCACGAGCCTCTGGGGCTAACGGCCCTGTTTCTCTCTCTCCTCCACCATGACCTCCCACCTCGCTGTCCCGAGAGTCCCATGGGGCCGACACACCTGCGCACCATGCGCTCAGTGCCTGCTACCGTCCACCGGAAACCGCACGGCAAGCGAGGGAATTCCACCCAACAGCCTCTGCAGAGAGGAGATGAGGGCAGGCTGGGAAGGGCAGGCTGGCTCTGACTCCGCCTTCCTTCTGGTCTGGCTGAGTCTCTGTGCGTGGTTTTCCATCTGGTGCGTCCCACAGCCGCCTGTCCCGCCCTGCTTGGAGGTGAGCCGCACCCACTGTGCAGGCGGCTGTGATGGGACTCTGTACCTGGGCCCCTGTGAATAGCGCTGTGGGGCCAGGACATGCCGTTCCCTCTCCACACTCTTCCTTTGTTTCCTTCCGGTAGAGAGGTGATGGATCCCACGGCAGGGTTTTTGAGGAACCAACACACCGTTTTCCAGGGGCTGTGCTAACTGCATTCCCACTGGCAGTGCCCAGCTGCTCCCTGCAGAGGGGAACTTGTGCCAGGGTAAAGGGGCAGCGCTGGCTTTGTGACCTGCATGGATCGCTGTGTTTCCCATCCACTCTCCTGTTGCAGGACCAGAGAGCCGGACTCGCAGCCCATGGCCCTGGGTCAGAGTCACCATCTCCACCCTGTTCCCTCCTTGCAGCTGGGGCTGGAGATCTCACCAACACCCAGAGGTCTCACAGCCCAGGGTGCACCAGACGCCAGCCCTGGGTCCTGGCCCCACTCAGCACCCTGTGTGCCCTCGGGCAGCCACTCAGCCCCTCTGAGCTGAGTCCCACACCGGTAGCCGGGCGATGCCTAACACCCTGATAGGGGACAGGAAGGGAGAGCAGAGCAGCAGCTGCTGCTGTCGCAGACGCAGTGTCTCACCACTGCCCTCTGCACCTCAGACACCGAGCAGTGGCCTAGCCACTCCCCGTGGGAACTGCCTTGGAAACCGGAGCGGGGGTCACACAGGACCCAGGGAGGAGGACGGAGGGCCTCCTGCGGCCAGGTTGGGGCAAGAGCTGGGCCTGGTGATCGGGGCCGTGTCCCAGCTCCGTGTCTAGGAGCCCACCCCAGTGCCAGCCCCCTGGGTGCCGCCACCTGGGAAAGAGCAAGCGCTGTGGGACCCGAGTCGCCTGAGGCCGAGGCGGGATGTGTGCCGTGCTGCTCATGCTGCGGCTGTTCGGGGTCTGCAGTCTGTTCTAAATTTAAGCACGGAAAATGTCAAGTCATCTCGCTATTTAGCTTGGGGAAAGAGGTTTAAATGTATGGGTGGGTGTGCTAAGATCTTCTGCTTCATTTCATACCCTTAAATCCACAGCTGACCGAAAAGCGGCTTCCTGAGCCGCTTCCTGTGCTGGTCCCCAACGACCACCCCCAAACCACAGCGGGCCGGGACCTCGCCCCACCCCGCCCCACCCAGTGCTCCACGATGGCCCCCACGGCCCCCGCCTCCAAAGCTCAGCCCACAGCCCAGGTCAAACCGTGCACTCCCCCGACCAGGCTCCTATGGGCCTCGACCTCGGCCCGGGCCAGGCAGCAGTAGCTACAGAGGTGGCCCCAGCTGCAGGGATACTGGACCGAGAGCGGAGGCCGAGGGACACTGCTGGCTCTGACGGCCTGAGTCACTTTCAGTATCTGGACTTCGCTAGAAGAAGGCACCAGGTAAACAAAGCTGCTCTGGTCCCTGTCTTCCTAGGGAGCACCTTTGATAACATTTCCCTGTGGAAGGCCTGAGGAGACACCTTTGTCACAACTGAAAACCTGTGAAAAGGCAGAGGAGAGGCCGCCTTTCGTTCACCTCCTACCCAGATCTACCACACCCTCGCCTGTACCGAAAAGAAAGCCTATCTACGGCTCTGTAAACCAGAGCCCTGGCGGTGCGTTTTCCCAGCCGAGAAGTGGTGTGTTCCAGTGTCCTTGGTCACAGACCGCAGCCCCCACCAGGGCCCAAAAGCCATGGGTCTTCAGCTGCCCCGACTGACTGCATGGCCGTCTCTTCTCTCCATTGTCATTCTGGGGGCTGGGGATTTAGCTCAGTGGCAAAGTGCCTGCCTGGCAAGCACAAGGTCATGAGTTCGGTTCCCGGTACCGGAGAAAAAAAAACCAAAAAAAAAAACAAAAAAAAATCCATTGTCATTCTGCACACATTGTTTCCAGAGTTTCATGGTTTGCTTAACTTCTGTCTGCAGAGCTCAACTGAGTCAGCCTTCATGTCAGCCTCAGCCAAACTATGTCCACGGAACCAGGGCAACGACATCCCTCGCCCAAAACTGTGAAATCAAGCTTGGTGTCATGTAACTCCAGCACTTGGGAGGCTGAGGCAGGAGGTTCTCCATGAGTTCAGAGCCACCCTGGGCTGCACAGTGTGTTCAAGACCAGCTTACACTACATAGCAAGATCCTATTTCAAACAAACAAAAACAACCAAATATCTGAAATCCAAAATGCTCCAAAATTGGAAGCTCCATCCTGATGCCATAAGTAAAAAGCTCCATCCCAACCTCAGGGGCAGAGGGAGTCAAAATGCAGGTGCCCTACATGTCGTATAAATGACCTTCAGGCTGTGAGCATCAGGTGTGCCTGAAACATGGGAGAATGTCTCACTGAGGGTCCCAGCCCCAGGTCCAGTCCAGCCTCATCTCGTCCCAAACATGTGGAAACATCTGGGCTGCACACCGCTCCTGCTCCCAGGTGCTTCAGCGAGGGGACGTGGCCCGCGTCAGAGAGCACCAGGAGGGATGAGACCATGGGGGGCGGCTGCCGTTCTGCTAGCGCCTCTGCCGTGTTCCCATTGAGTCACCAGGGAGGGTTGAATGCATAGGACTTCAGGGCCATGGCGAACCCCGCAGACATCAACCTGGGGTCAGTCCTGCTGTGACGGAGGCGGCGTCCTCAGCACCATCCTCCCGGGCCGGTGTCCACGCCGAGGCCCTCCCAGGCTTGTCTTCTCAGTTTCAGCTCAGGATGAGGAAACGCAGGGTCCGGGTGACTTAGGGAGGGGGGCTGCTTTCTTCCTCTCAGATTCGGTCAGGGAGCAGCGCCTTTACTGATGACGTCCCATCGTGAAAGCGACAGGACCAGGTGAATGTGACAACCACAGGCTCCTCTAAGACTCAGATGGGCAAACTTGGGTCCCCTCAGACCAGGCACCTGCAAGCTGACCCCTCACTCAGCTTTTCTCAGGTTGTACCAAAACATGGCTGTGGGGCCACCTGTCTGGGCCAGGTCTCCTTACTGTTTGTTTGGGACAGTACTGCTATGCATCCAGGCTGGCCTTGAACTCACAGAGATCCTCCTGCCTCAGCCTTGAGCACTAGGATTACAGGCCATTGCCTCCAGGTCTCCTTACTGGCTGGGCCGGAACCCCTCAGCTGTGCAGTGCCCAGCATGCTCCCACAAACCCGGTCTTTTTCCCCCACAGATTCTGTGATTTTATGTAACCGAGAAAGGAAAAGGCTGCCGAATCCTTGCTGTCATGGGCATAAACACACTGAGATGTTCAAAGTGAAAAGCAGAGCTGAAAGTCAGTACAGAAGCTGTTTAAAGTACGAACAGGACACTGAGCTGTTTTGTTTCACTTTTCCTGTTTCACGGCATGTCCTGAAGAGCGTTTCGTGTCACTCTTTGTCCCTAAGGCTCCACCGCGGTCACCGGGCTGGGACAGATCCTCACGTGCTGAGCTGCGCTCCTGTGAGAAGCTGCAGGCCCAGGTTTGCTGGGCGTAATGATTGCGTGCCTCAGGAGGACTTGGTTCACGTCTTAATTCTTTCTGGGTTACTTTCTAACTGCAGCAAACATCTTCGTTTATATGTGATTGTTACTCTACTTTTACTGTGATGCGAGGAAGTAAGCACACTGAAGACAAACAAACCCTCACAGGGAGGGCAGCATGCAGCTCACCATGACACCGTGGGTCGCTCCCGCACCCACGGACCTCAGAAACGACCCTGCAGCTGGTGACACGTGGGGAAAACTGTCCCCCGGGTGCAGCGTCAGGAGCCATGCATGCTTGGTTACCCGCAGGTTTCTGCTGCTGTCCCCGGAGTGCCTGTCCCCACGGAGCCGCCTCTGAGTGAGCACAGCGAGCCTCCCCGGCGCATGCGCGTCCCAGCCTAGCTTGCTTGGGTTTCTGCCCACTGGGCCTGTCCTGTGCCCTCACGGCGGCTCGGAGTCCCGCCTGCCTGTGCCTCACCCTGTGCTGACTCTGAGGTTCATGCTCTGCGGCTTCTCCAGATGCCCGCAGATCTCCACCCCACTTCCCTACAGAAGCGTGAGCCCAGCGCGTCTGAGTCACCTGCTTTGCTTCCCCCGAGCAGGGCGCTCCTCCCGACTTCTGCTTTGAGAACCCGTGCTGCAGCCTCCCGCACACTTTTCAGGCCTCTGTGAGCTTCACACACTCGATGACGACCTTCAGCCCTTTGCTCCTCTTGAGTGACCTTGCTGCCTTCGTTCTCTGCTTTCCGTGGTCAAATCTTCTCCCGCAGTCACTAGCCACTCATGAATGTAATGAACAGCTAGATCGGCAGTGGGACCCTCCTGCACACCGGCCACAGGGCGCTGCTGTATCGCTGAAAGCTCCCACAGGTCTACCCTCACTGACCTAGACCATATTTTTTGCTCAAAAATCAGTGTTGGCAGGTTTGGGGCGCATAAGTGTACAACTGTAATCCCAGCACTCGAGGAGGCCGAGGCAGAACCACCACAAGTTCAAGCCAGGCCTGGGGCCTTCGTAATCCGCTGTCTCTAAATACACAATAGAACGGGCTGGAGCTGCAGCTCAGTGTGAAGTAGTTTCTTACCCATCTCCAGAACTGGATTAAAAAAAAAAACAAAAAAACAGGAAACAAAGCTATGATAGGATCCCAGGGCCTCCTGGGGGTATTTTCAGTCTCTCAATCTGGCGTTTAGAAGCCTCTCTCCTCCACTGGGGGTCATTGCCCCATTCCCCTGCACGGCTCTTTGTGACCACCAAACCTTCCCCCTCCCTGCGGATGGGATGCATGGGGTGGGTGTCCGCCTGACACCCGAGGGATGCTCTGAGCGTGTCTGGAATGTTGTTCCTGGCGAGGTGAGCCCTTGATTTGGGGGACTGCACAAGCAGGTCGCCCTCCGCAGTGCGGACCAGCGCCACCCAACCTGCTTGGAGCTCCACTGGAACACACAGGCGCAGGAGGCTGGATTCTCCACACAGCCGGGGATCCCGCCCCGCACGGCACGCTGCACACTCACTCTCGCTCACCCAGCGCTCCCGCCTCACAGTGAGCGGGAACTCACCCACGGCTGTCCCAGGTCTCGAGCTCCTGGGTGCTGGACTGTGGGACTTCCTGCCCATCACCACACAAGCCCGCTCCTCCCCACTCTCACATTTAGCTGTGTTCTGCCAATTCTCTTTCCCCAGAGAACCTTAATGCGTGCCTGAGCTTGTTTGCCTTTGGTGCTCCCAGGCCTTATACCCATCCTTGGAACACTTCTCTTCCTGGGCAAACCCAAATTCACTTTGGAGATCCTAGAGAGAGGCCACTGTCTGCAGAAGCACCTCTGACCACTCCAGCTAGAAGTGCCTCTGCCCCTGCTGTCGGGAGCACCAGCAGCTCCAGCTCCCATCCTGGGAATTTCTGCAGCAGCCTCGCCTCCCCTGGACAGGGAGCTTTGCCACAGAAGCCGCCCGAGCCTGAGCATCTCCAGGTCCCCCCGGAGCATGCTGGCTAACTGCGGCTGTGTTGCACAGACATGAGCGGAATAAGAATCACCAGAATGCGGCCTTGGGTCACAGGAGCGCTGTGTGACCAAGCCCAGAGAACGCGAGGGAATTCCTCGTCTGAGAAATCAGACGGTGCTTTCAGGCTGGGCAGTAATGAGTGTTATTTTTTTACTCTGGCAACTAACAAGAAATAGTCTACCCTCGGGGTATGCAATCTCATTTTATCTGAATGAGGGATGCACAGCTCATGATAACAACCAGCCAAATATCAGAGACATCTGTAGCTCACCGTCATTAGCTTTTCCCAGCACAGTTCATTAAAGAAGTCCTGCCGGCCCCCATGGTATACACATAGCTGCTTGTTCACAGCAGGGTTAGTAGTGGAAGTCCTCAAAGCTCCCAGCTGTCATTTCTTCCAGAAAAAAAGCCCATCATGATCAATGTAATGTCTCCTTTACGACCTCCTGGCTACTGGATACCAGATTCTAGCTCTGGGAACAGGAACAAGAGAACTCCGTAAAGCAGTGAGTTATCACAGAGCTGGTACCTCTCTGGGGGTGGGAAACATTAGCACACGCTCACACTAGCGCCTCTGCACACCAGTGCTCCTTACCCTTCACCTGGCTCTTGTGGAGAAGTGGCTTCAGGCACCTTCCTGTCAAGCAGAAATCCTGACCCAACCGCAGCCATTTTGTTCAGTAAAGCTGCAGCCATTGTGTTCTCTGCCACTGAACTCAGCTAAATCACGTGACTCGTGATCAAACTGAAACACCTCACCCACCTGAACCGGGCTCCAGGCACCGGGCGTGGACACTTGTGCTGCCACACAGGCTTCCAGGTTGTTCCGTGGTGCAGTTCAAGTCCGGGAACCAGCACTCTACATCGGCGCGCTACAATCCAAAGCTAAAAGAACTGGGCTAAACTTATATCCAGTAACGAACAGAACATGTCTCTGGGCTTCTGGTTTCCTATCCATTCCTAAAATACCGTGCCTCTTTCTGTTCTGGCCCAGTGCTCAGCTGATGAAAGCATTGCTGTCATGGTTTGACAAATGTTCTGAGCTACAGATAATATTACAATTTTAGCTTGGCCCTTTTGGTTAAATAAACAGAGACCCGCTCAAGCGAGCCAGCTTAAGTTAGGAAGTGTTTACTATGAGGACTCACATGAAGTGATTAAGGAGTCTCTGGATATCTGAGAAGAGGAAATCTAAAATAAGGTCTGGCCATGCGGAGTCTGTAGCTGGAAGACGGCTTCACTTAGCTTCCTCTGCTGAAATGTTCCTGATGTCCCACAGCTTCAGCACGCGGGGCTAATTCTTGCAGGGCCTTCCAGTGAGGAAAAGGGTGTGGTGACAGGTTCAGCCGATCTTGTGGGTGCCGCGCTGCTGGTCATTTGTGTTGACAGTTATTCAACAATTGGTACAGAAGAAACATCACCTGAGCAGAACAGGCATTAACTGATGAGAACAGGATGTTGGCCAGGTGCGGTGGACACTGAATCCGCAAGCCTGGCCAGGCCATACCAAGGCATTCTTGCTGCATGTCAGGCTGTGTAGATTTGTTCCTTCAGAGACCGCAGTGAGCACAACAAAAAGACCCATGTGCACACAAATTTGGACTTTTTTATTCAACAATATACCCACAGGTTCCAATATGGTGTGCAGCAGGTAATAACTTCCCTTGGTATTTGTCAATAATTAAACAATACCACTGAATATATTTAAAATCTAAGCGCTAAATAATATTTAACATCACGCTTTCCTTGTAAATGAACGTTCGGCCTCCATGTGTACTCCTCTTGCCCTGTCCCATGGTACCGGCATTCACACAGACTTTCCACACCTTCTAAGTCATCCTCTTACCTCCAGGATCGCTTTTTAATATAGCTTCTGTACGGTACCTCCAAAAAAACAGCATTTAGGTGTTTCTGTTGATTTTTGATTTTCCAGTTTGAGTATAAATTTATGAAGAGACAAAACATAAAAACATACATAATACAAAATAGTAGCTATTCGGGTGGTAACAGGAGTAGTTAGGGAGAGGCTCGACCTGGTAGTGTAATTTTTTATGTTTTTACCTTTAAAAATTAAAATATTAACAATTATCTTTGTAAAATATAAAAGAATTGGTATTATATACTGTTAGTAGTGATACCAATAAAATAAATAAGTAACTTTTCTGGCAGCAGACTTCTGTTTTTAACCATAAAAGTATTTCTTACTTTTACACAGTTGATTTCTGCTAAAACAACTATATAATTGTATACAGACGAAGCCACTGATTTCCAGTAAGAAATAACACAACGCAGACCACAATTTTAAAGAGGAAAGCTCAGAAGGTAGCCCCATGGGCTCTCTGGAGACACTGTTCTGGCACAACCTAGGGAGATGCAAACCAAGCACAGCTGCCATCCTGCTGAGCTAAGAGGTCAGAGGAAGACTGCTGGGCTTTTGATAAAGCTAGGTCTGTAAGTCAGGACACCTAAGATGGAGCTGTTCATAGCAGTGGACTTAGAGGTCAGCATTTATCACAATTCCTTGTCCAAAGGGCTTGACTCCAGGGGTCAACTATTTTGAGCTAGTAAGCTGAAAGGTAATGCTGGGATGTTGTGGTCAGGGCTTGCAAGGGAAACAGTATAGGAAACACAGTTTATAGGATTATTGTATAATAGTCACCCAAAGAGTCATATACAAAAAGAGTGCAGGACATCTGCCCACACACTAAGGACTAAAGAATTCAGCTGAAGGCCTGGATCCCATAGCAACGTCCTACATGAGTCCAGCTGAAGACCACAAGCCCATAATAATGCCTCCCATGAGTCCAGCTGGAGAGCAAGAGCCCAGGA